CACACACACACACACACACACACACACACACACACACACACACACACACACACACACACACTCGTGTTTAAATGGCATAAGGGGAGATGCAGACTCCAGTAAAAGTTGCAAGTGTTCCACTTTTTTAAATTTATTATTATTATTATTATTTTAATCTCTTTGCACTCACCTCCATGTCCCCTCAGAGTCGCCGGGAGGCAGTTCCCGGACAGCAGGCAGCAGAAGACTGGGACAAGAACCAGCAGCACCACGCCGGGACTCATCCTGTCATCCACCCGGTCTGGGTCTGCGCCGGGTTATCCGGGCTGAAAACGGCTCAGGAGTCGGTACAAGAATGAATACGTTCCTCTGATCACGTGTAATTTTTTTTAATCGCGCTTGTTTGTTCTACAGGTTAGTGTTTTCCCCCCGAGCTGCCATCCGCACAAAGCGCACAGAGCTGTGCCTTCACTGCTCAGAGAAAATGCCAACAAAGTGCTTTGTTATATTTGTGGTGCGTTCAGGGAACCAGCTGAGATCCAAAGTAACTTAAAAGAGCCGCGCGCTCGTGTAACGTCCTCTGTCCCGGGTTAATAATCCGTGCAGCCTCGCTGTTTCCCCGGTCACTCTGTGCCCTGCCTGCCTGCCTGCCTGGGTGTCGGCAAGCCTGTCCCGTAACAAGAAACAAACCTTCCTCCTCTTCTTCTTCGTCTTCCTTTTTTTTATTATTTCATTTGTCCGAGTTGTTTAAAACAGGAAAAACAGGTTGTAGGTCCGTGTCGGTGCGGAGCGCGCGCCGTGTTTACGCGAATCGGACGCAGGAAAGCTACAGCTCGGTGTGTGTGTGTGGAAGATGTGCAGAGGCTGTGTGTGTGTGTGTAAGGTCTCGCGCCCCGCCCTCCGGAAGCTCGAGGGATTTCAGGTAAATGTATGACGTCACGAGCAGCAGGTGCGCGCGAGGATGTTTTGTCTTCGCAAAGCAGTGTAATGGAAGGTTTTAGGTTACTTATTTAAAATTATGCCGCTCCTGCCCAAAAATTCTGCCATTAACTTGGTAAAAGTCTTATAAAAATATAAACATCTACATTATGAACCGCAGAGGTATGGAAGCCCATTTCCACCACCCTGATAAAAAAATAAATAAAACTTGTATCTCATAATTATGACTTAGCTATCTGAGATAGCTAAGTCATAATTATGAGATACAAGTTTTATTTTTATTTTTTTTATCAGGGTGGCGGAAATGGGCTTCCATTCAGAGGTGTCAAGTAACTAAGTACAAATACTTTGTTACTTTACTTAAGAAGAAATTTTGGTTATTTATAGTGGAGTAATTATTTTTCAGCCTACGTTTTACTTCTCCTCCTCACATTTTAATTCATTTATCTGTACTTTCTACTCCTTACTTTTTACAAATACAAAACGTATTTTATTTCTATTTAACTTTGACTTGTTTTTATTCCATCTTTCCATTGTTCAGAAAAATAATGAATAAATATAAATCTATCCAGATACACAGAGCCCAAGGATGGAGTGAATGTGATTGTGGTTGGATAAGAAGTGTAAATATAAACCATTCTGACATCCTATTGGATTGAACTCACTCCATCACCTGTAGGACACAAATCACATCACATTCCAGCAGGATATACTGTGGCACGGAGGTTGTCAAGCTGGGGTCCCAGGACCCCCAGGGGTCCGCGAGAGGCTATCTTGGAGGTCCTCAAAAAATTTCACTAAATTGTTTGGTTTTTATTTTAAAAAATGCATGGAGAACAATAAACTAATAAAACAAACATAAACTTCATAAAAATATATATATATTTAAGTTCATTACTTTTACTTTTATACTTTAGGTAGTTTTAAAACCAGTACTTTTATACTTTTACTTGAGTAAAAATCTTGAGTTGATACTTCTACTTCCAAAAAAATATTTTTAAACCCTAACATCTATACTTCTACTTGAGTAATGAATGTGAATACTTTTGACACCTCTGATGACCCATGATGTAGACGTGTAAAGTCAGCCAATATGTATTCAAAGTGCTGCCAATGCCTTGTTATGGTCACCATGGTAACTATACGCCTGTCTGGTCATCACTCCCTGACAGCATTAAAGAGAGCCTCAGCCCAAAAAATGAAGAATTTGCGTCAATTTCTTTGTTGTAACAATGCTCCTTCCATTTTAAATGGTGCCACCTTTGTAAGGAATATGCCTTTATGGGATGAGCCGTGGAGCTGAGGATGTGGGTTGCACATGAAAAACTTGTCTAATCTTTTCTGCCAAACAGTTTATTTTGCTGTTGTTGACACTTGTTTTGAAGGTTTCCAGCAAGATTTATCATTAAGAAGCATTATTACAGCTAGGGCTGCACGATATTAGAAAATCTTGCGATGGTGTAATGTACGTCTTTTTTTTTCTTTCCTCCTTTTCTAATCTGTACTTCCTGCTGTATGTGACCTTTAGCATTTTTGGCTGTCCTTCCTATCTGTGAGCTTACCGTGCGAGTCGTGTTAGCATGAAAAATACAACTTTAAAAGAGTTGAGTAGTTATATTCACTGAGTAACATTTTTGGGGAAAAAATGTGCTTTTAGGAGTATTTTTACTACATATATTTTTTATTTTTACTTGAATACTTTTATTATGAAGTATCGCTGCTCTTACTTGAGTAAAATGTTTGGAAACTCTGTGACCTTGTCACCTTGTTTTCACCAAAAATTCACCAGACACACCTGCAGTTTTTGTTAGTTTCATCAATTTTAAATTGGAAAAAAAACTGATTTGGAAAAATTATTTCTTTTGCCGGAATTTGTTATTTTGTAATTATCTTTAAGATACCAAAAACTCCACCATGTTATGTATTTTTGTTGCGTCTGATGATGTAATGTTTAAACATTAAATGATTGATGATCAGTTACTCAGTACTTGCCTTTTTAACAAATACTTTTACTTGAGTCACTCCTTGGATGGCTACTTTTTACTTTTATTTGAATAGAAATATGTTGAAGTAGTGCTACACTTGAGTACATTTGTTTGTTATTCTACCCACCTCAGCTCAAAACTCTTCAAAAACATTTGGCAAGAATTATAGCACTCCATGCAATCCTTTGTGATGTGAATATTGCGCACACTGATATTGCAATGACAGTGTATTTTGCAGCTTAAACAAAGAAATCAAACACAAATATCATTTTTTGTGCTAAGTGTTTGAAACGTTAATGCCCAGACCCTCAAATAGAGGAGTCAGTAGGTTTGGATTTGTTTTAAAACACCAATAAAACTGCAATTTTACAAATAGGCGGTAGAAAAATACCTATTTAAGCAAAGCTTTTGATCCTTATTTTCAATTAATAGTGCACTGGATCGCTTCCTCTCTCCCCTGCTCCCCCTTTTTTCCTCCCAGGAGGAAAGCAGCAAAGCAGATTTCACGAGGTGGAGGCGAAGACATGCACCCCATCATCTGAATAAAGGGAGGGGGGTCACAGAGGAGCTCAGATTAAAGGATTTGGTAAACGTAGTGGGCGAAGGAGGAGGAGGAGGAGGAGGAGAGCAGGGTTCAGAGGTGAAGAAACGATGTTCAGGAGAAGCTGAAAGGAGCAGAGGAGCGAGCGGCGCCATCTCTAATCGGGCCTGATTAACCTCAAACTGTGCGTGTCGCCTCTTTGTGCAGCCGGTGACTTTTGAATGGCTAAACATGACTCTGTGGAACAAAAGACGTCTTCATCAGAGACAAACGCCGCAGCCTTTGGAGCTCAAGGAGTTTTCTAAAGAACCGCATGCACATTTATCAACATCGCTGTTGATTTTTGATCCAAGCCCAACACACATGGAGAGAGCAGTTGCTAAGTTTGGCTACTGCCCCCTGCTGGACAGGTGAAGCAAAAAGATATTCAAACCTCTATTTTTATATAGAACAATTTAGCTGCTTCACCTGGATGTTTAGTAATTAAAAAAGGGGTGGGACTAACTTCTAATGAAGATGCACAGATTTTATTCGACCTTCTAATCATTGTGCACAAGCTCAATCGGTTTAAAGCACAAAATTTGCATACACCAAGTGCAAAAATCTGCATAAATTACCAGCATCCACATAATGATATAATCTTAAAGGGATTGTCGTGGCTGCTTATCTGTCCCCAAACATTAATATTCTGAACCTGACGCAAAGAGACTGCAATCCGTGACCCCACACTCCTTGAGTTGATGTCTGCATCGGTGTGTTTCCGGCCCTCGTCTGTAAATCTGTGTCGAGATGCGCACGCCGGGCCGTGTTCGTGTCGTCGAAGGCCAGAAGCCGGAGCAGGGTTTCGTGGGTCGGCGTGAGCGTGCATGCCTCTGACTAATGGGTGAGAGCCACCGGTTGAGGCTGGAGGGAGAAAATGGGTTACAGCAAAGAGATGAGGACTGACTGGTGACCACCTCCTCCTCTAAATGTAATTATCTGAGTCTGAGTCAGGCGAGGAGACGCTCTTTGGTCAAACACACACACAAACACACGATGATTCAGACAGAACAGCACTGACTTTTATTGAACTAAATAAAATAATTCTGTACTTAATCAGAAGGCTGAGCCTGGCCATTTTACGACAGAAGCTTGTTTCAGCTTTTTATGTCCAAGATGTACATTTGGTCATGACTATATGAGGGTAGAAATAGAAGAACCAAACTATTACATTTCTCTCTGGCTGTGTCCAAATTCAGGGGCTGCATCCTTTGAAGGCCAATTACGTCACAGTGACACACCGAAGGCTGTCCAAATTCAAAGAGTCCACCAATAGTAGCCAAATACGTCCTCCTATTCCCCCGATTTGAGGGATGGGTCCAGTCAGTGCTGGCTCTAGCCATTTTGGTGCCCTAGGCGAGTTGAAGCACCCCCCCACGAACTATGTCCCACCCACTCCAATTTGAACCCCTAAAAACAAGTTTGACAGTGTAAGGTACTCTGGCAAAGTTAGATTTATTGCCCGGATTTTTTAGCAAAATTTACGGATTTTTGAGGCTTTTTATACAGATAAACGTCTGAAGAGGTTGACATGTATGGGACAACAAAATACAGACTTGTTGTTATTGAGTTTGTCAACACGAACCGCTACCTGAGAGGCACAACTAGCCCCTCCCCCGTCAGAGTGTCAGAGCAGGACGAGTCAGTGCAACGTCAATGAAATGAGAGAGAGGGTGGGGGCGATTGCTGCATTGTGGGGTGGGGGTGTTTTATGGGTAGAGTAGTTTATTTTTCCTGTAATACTTCATTGTAGTTTTTTAAGACAAAGCTAATTGAAAGGGGCACTGAGCAGAGTTACAACCAGGGATTACAGTTACTTTTTTCTTCTGCAGTTTGGCGCCCCCTCCTGCAGATGGCGCTCTAGGCGACCACCTAGTTCG